AAAAAAAAAAAAAAAAAACGAACAAAAAAACATAGCAGAGGGGGCATCTCTTTTCCTGCCCCTGCATCTGGGCAGGTGACTTGCTTTGACCAAGAGAATGGACAGGGATGGGGGTGGGCCAACTTCCTGCAAAGCCTTAGGAGGCCCACAGCACCCCTTCTTCCTTGCTGGTATTTCTGCTACCAGGAGGAAGCTTGGCTTGGCCTGCTGGAAGGCGGGACCTCTTAGAGCAGAGATAAGGCGGCTGGGCTCAGCCCAGCCGGGGAGGAGAGCGAATAAAATAGTGACCATTTTACACCACCCAGTTCTGGGGAGTTTTGTAGGACAGCAGACAGCTGATATGCCAATTTGGGGATAGGGGGTAAAGGAAAGCTCGAGTCCCACTCCCACATGCCTCCCTCCTCCCTGACCCCCTGGGCAGCCTGAGGAAGGATACACGGAGAAGGCGACGGTGAGCAGACACCAGAACACCGCGATGTTGGTCTCCTTGACCGGGCCCAGCACATAGTAGTAGGCCTCTGTGAAGACATACACGCCACCCGAGTACACGGCAAAGTCCACGAACCACTGGTACTCCAGGAAGAAGCGCAGGACTGCGGGGAGCACGCAGCTCAGTCCACAGCCCAGCACAGGACACCCCCCTCACCAACGCCGCCAGGGTGTGGGCTGAGGCTGGGACGTTGGGGACCCAGCTGGGCTGTTACCGAGGGCATCAACCGCTGTGAGGGGGCAGGTCTCCAGCTGGAAAGGGGCATCTCGGGGCACAGACAAGGGCTTTTCTTCACTATAGCCATTGGCCCACCTGTTGGGGGCGGGGGAGGCGGTGAGGGAGGAGGAGTGCATCCTCTGTTCTCTCCTCCCCAGCCAGACATGGCGGCCCACCCCACACCAGCCTGGAAGGTTCCACCGTGCCACCCTCAGAGCACAGGAGGAGCTGGTTTGGGAGTTACCTTCTCCCCAGCCTGGGTCTCCGCACACCAGGCTGCAGATGCCGCAGCTCACAGGGATGGCCCAGAGCAAACTTCGAATAAGCAATAAACGTTAGCTGTCAGCCCAAGGCAACCAATGAATGACAGTGACATCTCAACCTGGGGTATCCACCACTCTCCTAGGTGCCCAGAACTGCGTGCGCCTGGAAGGGGAGCCGCTCCCCTAGGGCTGGGGGCTCACTCACCGCTCCTTCCTGCCTCTGGGCCTCGGCTTTCCCTCCAGGGGCTTTCCCTCCAGGGCCCGAAGCTCTTCCTCAGTAGGGTGCTTGTATCGGAAGAGACTGAGGGCAAAGACGGGAAGTCAAGAAAGCTCCCGCGGCGTGGAGGGCTCAAGGCAGTGAATCCTCAAACCCAGGACTGGAGTCGGGGAGAGCTGGACCCGAAATGCATGGGGACAGGATGGGCAGAGACCATGCAAGGCTAGGGGAAGGCCTGGGGGGTGGGCTGTGGGTTTGCTGGGGGGAGTGCAGTGAGAAACTATGGGCAGACGGCAGGGTGGCCCGGAGTCCCGGACACCCCTGAATCTGCGGGCTATCTCTTCAGGTGGAGCAGGCGTGTGCATTGTTCTGGAGGGAAAGTTCACAGTTTCCACCAGGTCTCAGAAAGGGTCTGAGATCCAAACAGGGACAAAAAGCACTGCAGGGAACAGATCTACAGCAAGAGGAGTGTGGAAGGGGGGTTAGATTCCTGGAAGCAGGAGTAAGGGAAAGCAGCTGCTCTTCCCAGTGTGGAAATGCGGTCTCATGGGTGTGTGTACCTCTGTCAAAACTGATCCAACTGTGTGCTTCAAATATTTGCAGTTTATTGTATATCAGTTATATCTCAATAAAGGTGTTTTTTTAAAAAAAAAACACTAAACACTCTTCGGAGGGCACGCGGAGGGGTTTGGAGGAAGCAAAGGGGGAGGGGCCCGGTGGGGCTCCTCCCACCGCCCGGGGTGGGGCTGTGGCTCACCTGCCGTTGCAGAGCAACCAGCGTGCGAAGGAGCAGTGCGGCGCTAGCCTATGCATGAGGGTGGCGGTGAGCAGGGTCACCACCAGCTGCACTCCCAGGACAGCCTGCGGGGAGGGGACATGAAGGGCAGTGCCTGCCAGAAGGTCACAAGCTCCGTGCCTCGGAACTCAGGCTATTTATAGAGAGGCTGGGGCCAGGTTGGGGAGGGAGGGCTTCGGGGGCTCCAGCTGCATCTTGAAGGAGGGGCCTGGGGTGGGCTCAGCCTCAACCCTGGGAGCCCCTGCTCTGTGTGGATTCCCGCACTCCCTACCACCACCACCTAGCTGGGGTGTGGGGTGGCGGAGAGCACACGCTGGGGTTCACTTCTGGCCTTTGCTATGGATTTCAGGTATTCATCTTCCTGAGGCCTCGGTTTCCCCATCTGGAAATGGGGCGCTGCCTGTTTTGTTTCATGTGCTGTCAAGACCACCATCCGGACCTACAAGGAGCACAGCCAGTGAAAGAGGCTCCCCTCCCACGGTCCCACCCACACATCATCGTTCCCCCTGGCAGCTCCGTCTCCCATCTTTCCCACCGGAAATTAGCCTCATGATCCCATCACCCTCTCCTCCTCCCTCTCTTGGTAATCAACCTCCTTGGAAAGCCTATTTCTGGCCACTACCAGTTTCAGGACAAAGACTTACACATATGAGTGGGATGACTTTTTTAAATTAGGAATTTCTCACTAAGTTCTACATAACAAACTTTTTACCAATTCATAACACGTTTTCATATATTAATTTTAAAACGTTTTAGAAGAAATGCTTTTGGTAATCAGTCTGAAGCTGGGTTTTCCTGCTTGAATGCAGTAAATACCAATTTGGTATCAGTAATTATGTAATTATATAAAATTATGTGCTCAGGAGTGCTGTCGACTAGTATTATGATATTATAATTAACAAGTAAAGTGAAATAAAGATTACTTTAATATTAAAATTAATTATTAAAATTATCCTTTAATCAGGCAAGAATATGCTAACTTTAATTGGAAAAGCTCTAGTGTGATGGGTATCGGGCCAACACAGTAATTCAGAATGACTGCTGAGAAATCCATCATTAAGATAACTAACAGGATATTTTCTCTATGCCTGTAACTTGTAAACCAGAAACATTTTCTCAGTAATGAGGTCGGTGCACCAT